AATTTTTTTTTACAAACCATTCAAAAATGTCAACACTCTTTTTAGCTTACAGGACATAATACAGGTCAGCTGGTGGATAGACAAGATTCACAGGTCATAGTCTGCCTACCCACTGTGTAGGACAAAATACCAATTGTAAAGTGATAGAGTTTTGTTTCCTTTCCAAAGGAGAGATCATTGTAGGCTGTCATACCAACAGATTATTCAGAAAAAGTGAGTTTTTGAGGAAGTTTTTTAATAGTAGAAAGGATTGTCATCAATCCTTGGTTCACTTCTTTTGTGAGTCAGGATTTTTTCTATTTAATTTTTTTCAGAGAGAGACACACCTATATTGATTTATTATTCTTATTTGTATTTTTTTCTTTTTAATACTAATTTGTTATATATGACAGCAAAATGCATTACAATTCATATTACCTATATAGAGCACAATTTTTCATCTCTCTACTTGTATATAAAGTATATTCACACCATTTCTTCATACCTATACTTAGTGATGTCCATCTCCTTCCACCATCTTTTTTACCCCCTTGTTCCCTTTCTTCCCTTTGCCCTATCTACGGTTTGTCTAATCTTCACATGCTTCCCCTTCCAATCCACTATGAATCAGCCTCCTTATATCAGAGAAAACATTCGGCATTTGGTGTTTGGGGATTGGCTTATTTCACTCATTCATTATATTCTCCAACTTCATCTATTTACCTGTAAATGCCATGATTTCATTCTCTTTCATTGCATCTAGGCTGCTATTCTTATTTGTATTAAATTCAAAGAGGCACAGAATGATCTGCTGTTGAACACCAAGTGACTTAGTAGCTCATCTGAGTCATTTACTGCAAAGAAACAAAGGGAACCCACTAAAATAGTTTAAATTTAGTAAGTTATCTAGACTCCTAAAATTGAGGATGGCTTATTTTTATCTCCAGTTTAGTTCTTATATACCTTCCAAATACCAGGTATTGTTTTGGGCACCGAGGATACAAAAACTAATAAGAAATCAACTCTCCAAACTTGTAAAAATGTGTAGCAGGGCCAGTGAGAGAATGTGTAGGGTGGTGATTGTCACCCTTGGGTGCACATTTGGATCTACTGGGAAATGAAAACCTTTTGTTGCCCCCGCCCCCAGAGATTATGATTTGCTTGGTCTGGTATGGCCTGGGTGCCTAGTTTTTGAAAGTTTTCCCCAGGTAGTTCTTAGGTGCAGTCAAGGTTGAAAACCTCTGGTGTAAGAGTGATGGGGCATACAGAGAAGGGAGGACTCAGCTGTAGCAAGGTAGGAACTGTCACAGGAGAGCAGTCTCCAAAGAAGGGTCCATAGAGTTCCTAGACAGAGGGGGAACTTGACTTAGGGCCTGCAGGGTTTCTTGGCATATGTGAAGGAAAAGAATTTCAGAACGCTCCAGTCAAAGGCATAGACAGAGGTTTATTTAGGAAGGTAGATACACATTCAAGGGACAGTGGAGGCAATCTAGAGAGGGGCCTTTGGGGTAGAGCAATAAATACTCAAGGGAGATTGCAGGTTAACTTCAGAGGGAGAAAAGCACCCCATTGGTGTGGGGTGTTTATATTTATAGAGGGCTGGTCCTAGGGGCTGGAATAAAGATGAAGCAGGGTAGAGGTACACATTTTCACTCTAGTTTTTCCTGTGCGTGCATGTTTTGCTCATGTTACACAGGCATGGGTCAAGGGTGTGGGCCCAGGACATGTATCTCAGGAATTGCAATTCTTCCTGGGCACTTATATGCATCTTGATGCATCTTGATGGCTTATAGGTATTTCCTTTAAGGCTCTGTCTATCTTTCTACTGAATCCCTATCTCATAGTCAAGGTAGTGCTTGATAAGCAGAGGCAAAGAAGGGGGTTGAGGAAAAAGCCTCCCTGGCAGTGATAATACAGAGAAGCAGGAAATGATATACAGCATGTCCACCCAACGTGCACAGAAGCTTGGAGCAGTAAACAAAGACAAAGGAGGAAAGCAGTAGCAGCAGGTACCTCCAGAAAGATAGATGTTCATGCTTGCTAAGTGTGGTCTTGGTCTTACATGGAATTAGGAGTCACTGGAGAGTTCTGAGAAGATGAATACAATTATTATATTTGTAGTTTAGACATAAGATTCTTCCAACCTGTGTGGTGAGTTGGACTGATGGTCTTGTACTTCAGGCAAAAAGCCCAATTACAAGGTTATTGCCAAATCCAAGTGAGAAATGATGAAGGTTTAAATATAGGTTAATGGCAGTGAACCTGGACAGGAAATGACAGATTTATGAGATAGTAAGGAGGTGGAATTGGCAGGATGTAATCACTGTGGGTGATTAGGATGCCTCTGTGTTTCTGGCTTGAACAACAGCATGGCTTGAATAGGGGATACCAGGTGTTTAGTGGGAGAGAAAGGAGTAGAAAGCAAATGAGTTCCTTTGACTCATTTTAATTTGAAATGCTGGTGGGACTACCAAGCAGAGTTTTCCAGTAAACCTTTGGATATGCAGACTTAGAAGAGAGGGCTGCCCTGGAGATATTAATTTATTTGTCAGAATACAGCTTGGTCACATCTGGCAGGAAGATGAGATTGCCCAAGTGAGGAATGCAGAATCTGCAAAACACAACATTTGAAGTATAGATACAGGAAAAGAGTCATCAGTTTAGCTAAGAAAGGGGTTAGGATGGCAGGAATACAACCAGGAGGAAATGATATTATAGGAAGCAAAGGAATAATGTTTTAGGAAAAGAACGATAAAAAAATATTGGATGCTTCAGAATGGTCAAGAGTATGAAGATTAAAACATGCCTGTGGGTTAGTAAAGGAGCATCACTGGAATTGGGTTATAAAGCCCTTTTTACAGTTGGTTTAAGACTGAATTTTAACTTCTTGTCAAAATTTGGAGTGAATAGTTTTAGGAAGCCCTTTTCCTGCTCCTTTTATATGTAAAGTAGATAAAAATGTGTAACTTTAGAAGTGTTTCAAATAGCTAACCAACTCTAACCAAATTTAAAAGGAAGAAAGAATTCTCCAGATGTCATGAACAAAAGAGGGATTAGAGGCCATAGAAACAAGTGTTGAAGTTGAGAGGCCACAAAGGTATTAGATCATATAGGGAGGTCAATCAGGGACTGGCATTTTAACACTTCCAAGACAGGGAGAGAGGGAGCTTTATTTGTGGAGAGTTATGCAGTGGAACTGTTCTAACCATGAATGGAACCAGGAAAACTCTGGGTTCCCAGGCTGCCCATTTGATGAGTATCTGAAGGAGAGAGAAGAGCTTTGGTAGAGCAGAATGTTGGATCAAGGGAAAAAAATCTTTTTTTTTTTTTAAGAAAATATTGAAAAAATACTGAAAATATAGGAGGGAAAGGGGATAATTATAGATCCTCAGAGCCTAAGTAGAGAAATTACTTGAAATAAATGAGGAACAAATTTGAACATATTATCTGTTGGAGATGGGAGGCAGAATATTTAGCAATATTTAGTAGGTCCCCTCTTCTCTGTCAGATAGGAAGGATAAGGAGAATAAGCAATGTGGAGATTCAGAAAGAACAAAATGGCTGTCTGTTTATAAATCCATTATAGAAACGGAGAGAGGAAGCTGAACAGAGACACATAAAAAGAATGAGGGTCCACCTGCAATGAGATATCAGAGATCTGCGGTGGTACCATTCTTTACCCAGCAATGCAAGTATGATTATAAAATTCATTAAAGTTAGATTTTTGAATTAATCCTTTAATGTTGCAGAAAGATGCCAGAAAATAACAAGAGAAAAGAGGGAATAAAAGGTAACACCCAGAGAGTAATTTGGGAGAATAGAGGGAAGAAGGTTCTATACTCAAAATTTTTATCTCTGGCCACAGTAACTAATAGAAACCATTCAATTATAGTGAGTTAGAAAAATTCTAGAAATCACATACAGTTCTCTTATTTATCCTAGCTTATCTTAAGAGAATCAGGGCACTATTGCATTACCTTAAGTCAAGCTGTAATTAAGTCAAGGTTTGGAGGCTTCAACTTCTCTTGTCTTCAAACCTTAAATTGTTTATTGGGTCAAGGAAGTTTTAGCATATGTAAATACATTATATATATATTTACTTGAAAATGCATAATGTTCCCAGGTTGACACTTACAACAAAAGATATCTCTGCCTGGGATGGGGAAACCTCCTGGAACCTTGGTCATCTTCCAGGGGGCATCCAGCTAATTAGCACTTCCTTCATAAATAAATGTCATTTCTAACACTAGTATTACTGATAAGGATTTTTAGGCCATTGAAATCAGTCTTAGTGACAGAAAAAGAAGCTTTTTAATTAAGTTGAAATGGAATATTTAAGGTGAATTTTCAGGTACACTCTGGTAAAAGCAGTGTTACTAGTGAACCCAGTGGCCTATTAAAGGGCTTATTAAAAACCTGTCAACTCTGGGTCACTAGATAAAGCCCACTGGAGATAGCAATAATCAAAGGCTCTTTCTGTCTCCCAACAGAAAGATCTATGTTGGTAGATTTGTTTTGAATAAAGGAGTGTCTATAGTTAAAAAAAAAAAATCTTAAAGTAGAACTAATAGATAGTTTAAACCAAGAAGTCAGATAATAATGTTTTGTAACACTTCTGTCACCTTTCAGGTACTGCTCATGTTGTCATTTAGCAGCATTTTTTAAAAATACAATCATCCCTATTTTATTTATTGAACATATTCTTGAAAGATACTCCCTAACCTACCACACAATTTATTTATCCTAAGGGATTAACTATGATAAGAAGTACTAATTAGTATGATCTGCTTTCATGATTACTCAACAATTCAAAAACTAAGAATGAAATCTAGAAATGATGTCTCCCAATAATGTGACCTATTAATGGATGCTTCTGCTTCCTACTCAGATAATGGATTATGTTAATAAGAGAGATGGATGTGATATCTTTTTCTGCGGCTAAGGTAAACGGAAAAAAAAAAAAAAAAGCTAACTGAATACCAGGCATTGTGCTAAAGCACCTTTTTATGGGCTATTTTTAGGGGCATTGTCCAGTCAGAAGAAAAACTTGTCATCAGTGCATCTTGGGCAAAAGATGATGATATCAGCAGACTCTTGAAATCACTACCAAACTGGATCAATATGGCTCAGCCCAAACAGCTGAGGCCAAAGAGAGAAGAGGAAGAAGATTTCATAAGGTAAAGATCTATTTTTTTAAGATCTTTTTTTTTAAGATCTATTTTCTAAGTGATATAAACATATGGAGGAAAGTACACATGTTTAGCTCCTCAAGGTCATGATTCTTTCCTTGGCCCTGTGGAGTCTGGTTAGGGTGTTTTTGATTTCTTATATTTCCTCTTGATCATTTCTTAGTATGTTATCTCTTCTTATATACCTATGGTTTACTTTTTATTTAATACAATATACTGAGAAAAATATAAATGTATATATGTATCTCTCTCTCTATATATATATATATATATATATAAATATATATATACACACACACATATACATGTGTGTATGTGAGTATGTATACCACACACATATATACATGTACACACAAAAGTATGAGGCATAATAAATGTATAGAAATGTACATATATCAAAGCCAGTTTAGTGAACATGGTGATGAAACAGAATGTGTTTGTAACTAATATCCAAATCAAACAGAACTTAAGGAAGGAGCAGAGGCACACATCTATAATCCCAGCAACTCGGGAGGCTGAGTTCAAAGTCAACCTCAGCAACTTAGCAAGGCCCTAAGCAACATAGTAAGAGTCTGTCTCAAAACTTTTAAATAAATTTTATAAAGGGCATCATTGCTCAGTGGTGGAGCACCCGTGGATTCAATCCCTGGTACCAAAAAAAAAAAAAAAAAAGAAGAAGAAGAAGAAAAGAAACACAACATTACCAACAAGAGATGAAACATAGCAACTTGAGAACTCCAAGTTATTCTTATGTGATTTCTAACTACATAGACTAGTTTAATCTGGTTTTGGACCTTATATAAATGGAATCATGCAGTTATGTACTCTTTTATGACAGGCTTCTTATGTTCCACCTTATGTTGGCAAGATTTATCCATATTGTGTATAGGTTCTCTTTACTTTGAATAGACCACTGTTTGTAGTAAGCACTACAGGTTTTTTAGAAAATATTTTATTATGTGTATGTATGACTATATATGTGTGTGGTGGTATGTATATACACATAGGTACAGAAATATGTATATGTATATTTATTCATTCTACAGTTGGTGAGCATTGTTTAGCTTTCATTTTGGAGCAATAACAAGTAGTTTGCTATAAATATTCTGCTGTGTCTTTTGGTGACCATGGGTATATGCCAATAGAAGAATTGCTGGTTGAGTTTTAGTTCGTACTGTCAAACAGTTTTCCAAAGAAAATTGGTCGTAAGAATTTACATTCTCCCAGTGATATATGAAAGTGCCAGTTGTTCCACATTTCATTAACACTTGCCATTTTCATTCTTTTAAGTTGTATCCATTCGGGTAGGTTTGTAGCAGTATCTCATTGTTATTTATTTATTTATTTATTATTAATATTTTTTAGTTGTAGATGGACACATATTATCTTTGTTTATTAATTTATTTTTTATATGGTGCTGTGGATTAAACTAGTGCCTCACAGGTGAAAGGCAAGTGCTCTACCTCTAAGCCACAATCCCAAACCTCTCATTATTATTTAATTTGCATTTCTCTCACAGATGAACTTTCAATTTATTTTTATGTATTTCTTGGCCATTTGGATATTTCTTTCATAATATGTTGTTTCAGATAATTTCCTAGTAATTTCTAAATAGGTTGTCTGTCTGCTCCCTAGAGACTCTGGGGAGTTATTCATACATCAGGTGAAACTCTGTTATGGATGGATCAGTCTTCTCCCACTTGACATGTTGCCTTGTTATTCTAACAATGTCTTTTACTAAACAAACTTTTAAAAGTTTCAGTAAGTCTAGTCTATTAATCCTTTTATGGACATGCCATTTGTACCCTACTAAGAAACCTTTGCTTATACAAAAGTCACATAGATGTTTTCCTTTAAAACTTCCATTGTGTTGAATATATATCCAAATCTCAGCTTCTGAAATCAATTAAAATTCTAAAATTTTTAATTTTGTATTCTTGCACTCTATACTTCCCTTAATTTAGATCACATTATCATGGTTTTAGTAGGAGAGTGTATCCTCCTGATTTTTTTTTCTGTCAGGAGAGGTGAGGAGGATTAAGAGATTGATCAACTTGAGCCCCTAAGACAGAAGCCAGACCAGGCACAGGGTCCACTCCTTCACTGAATTACCTTCATATTAGCCTTCCCAGATTCTTAAAAGGTCTAGGGCAAACATATTCTCACCCTTTTCTTTAAGTATATTCATATAACCATATCCGTTAGCATTAATAGTTTTTAAGAAGCTATTTCTGAAGCAATTTCTCCCAACTTTGCAGGATTCTTTAAGTAAATATGTGCCTTTTTCTTGTTCCTCAGCTTATTGTTCTATAGTTTTTGAATTGGATTTTATACTTGCAAATGGTTTTTAATCAGGTGTGTTAGTTATCTTCAATAGCATAGAGTTAAAGGAAACAGTTTCTAGCTCTATTTTAGAAGAGACTGCTGAGCCAGAGATGAACGTCTGTGTATGCCTCACTTTTTTGATTTAGAAAAGCTACGAATAAGACCCTTTTTTTTCCTCTTGAATTTATGAAAGAATTGTATCACTTTTCATCTTAAACTTGGAGGAAAAACAAATTATGTTAACATTTCTTAGCTTTCTTGGTGTGATCTACATGAAGACATGAAGTAAAGTATAGTTTTAATTGTATAACACACTGAAATACATAAATATGATTATACCCTTGTAACCCCCTCCCAGATTAAAATATGGAATTTTTTACTGTTCTCAAACAGCCTTCCTTCCCTCAAAGCAACTACTATTCTGATTTCTATATTCATAGCTTACTTTTGTCTGTCTTTAAATTTTACATACATTTCATCATAGTGTCTGGTTCTATTTTTGTGTTTGTTTTTCCTGAACAAGCCTCAAAGATTTGCTCATGTTTTTGCTGGTAGACATGACTTGGAAAACAAATTATATTTCCTTTAACAGAAGAGAACTACATTTTTCGATCTGTTTTGTTTTGTATGTTGATTGATTCTTTCCTTTTAAACTGTCACATTCTCTTCTGGATTAGAAGTTGAAAGCAAGTCAGGAGGAAAGGATGCTCTTCATTGCTATTCATTGTGGTTGAGCTGACGGAGAGCCTTAAGCAGCACATTAGAGCGCCAGAGAACATGGCTTGAGCCAAAAGGACTGAAAAGTCACATTCTCCTCCTATAATTAGTTTTTAAAGCTCAGAAGGGTATTTGGCACCCAGATGAATATAGAATCCAGTGCCCTTTGCATCCAATAAAGGTTACATTCCCTTCATTACTAAACAAAGCCCTTTTCTATTCTTGTTTTTTAACTAAAAAATAAAATGTATTATTTCCAGGTTTAATTTTGAATAGAGGGGGAAAAAATTAGGTCAAGCCAGGGCTTTAATAGAAAAGAAAAATAGCAAATACCCTTCTATTCCCAAGGAAGCTGAAAGCAGGTTCTTTAGCCCGATTGTCTTTGCACCTGTCATGTATATGTATATATTTATCCTTTTGATATCAGGGAGTATCCACTGATAAAAGGCAGCCCTGCTTGCTGGAGGTGTAATTAACAGAAGGAAGAGGGTATGGAGGAGTAAAGGAGGTAGGGAAGGGCTGTGTAGGAGGTGGGGAGGCCAGGTGTATTAGAAAAAGTCCCCCCAAACCAGCTCCCCATTCAGGGTCCCTGAATTTCAAAGAATAGGTATCATTCCTCTAGAACCAGGTTTGAAAATTCTTAAATGGGATTGGTGGGATGAGGACTGGATTTTTCAGGTTATAAGAGACAAACATTACATAAAAACCGAAAAACTAGTCTTGAACTATAGCAGGTAGAGAGATGAATGATAAAAAATTAAGTCTAAGGACAGATTGTACAATCGATTACAATGATCAAAATACTAAGAGCTAACAGAGCCTGGCACCCACCGTACAGTGATGTTATGAGTTTCCAAGAATTGTTACTCCCATTCAACAAATGAGGAGACTGAGGCACAGAGAAATTAGCAACTTACCCAAGTTTACAGAGCTATCAAGTGACAGAGCTAGAATGTGAATCCAGGTCACCTGGCTCCCTGAGCCACCACACTGGAGTCAGCCGCCTAAAAATGGATCCGGAATTTACATTTTTGAACTTTTGAGTCATTTCTTTATTTTCATTCACCATCATAATCTTGACTGATAGTCATCATTTTCTGATAAGGTCAAAAGCTTTATCACATTGGCACTTTGACTAGATTTGTTTGATATTTTGACATTCACTGTTATATTTGATATATGTATTCCTTCCAAAAACAGACTTAAAACAGCACATATCCAGCTATATATAGGGAGAATAATGTATTGAAACCAAGTCTATAGGTGCATTAAAAATGCTTCTTTTATTTTCCTCTGTGTCATAACTTTCCCTAGTCAAAGCAAAGAAAATAGAAATAACCATTGTTGAAAAGGGAAGGAGGACACAAAAGGAATGAAATATAAAATTATAAAACTAAAGTGTGTAGTTTTGGAATAGAGGGTGATGCAGTCCTGAATATGGAAAAGAAGCCATTTGTAGCTATTTAGTTATTTAGAAGGTATCTTTTACAACTTGGGGAATCAAACGAGTGGATGCTCATCAAGACTCATTTTTGTTGTTTTATGAAATTATTAGTTAAAATGATTAAATAATCACAAAATATTGTTTTCAATGATCAACTGGTTGATTATGATAATTTATGTGAGTAATGAAAAAAAGAGTCTGAATAAAAGCAGAAAACACCTTTACCTGACTTCTGTGGAATCCCTAGGTCCTTTAAGATGTTGAATGAATAAAATGAATTTTAAAAACTGGAAAAGTCGGCCATTCTTCAATTAAAAATCATAAAATGTGAGTAATAGGGATGTTTTAAACTATAAGATGGTGCTTTGAGTGGACTCCTGAAAGTTACACACATAGAAACATTTTCCCTTTGGAAGCTTCATGGGCCTGAATCTGGTCCTCAGCATTGACTCTACCTAGTTTGCTTTGTTTTCCTTTGTGGGTCTTTATATCTGTTCTGTTT